AAAAAAAAAAAAAAAAAAAAAAAATAGAGCTTGACTCTGGCCTACACTCTAAGAGACTGCTACAAAGCTGCTTTTGTAGGTGGGGAGAACGCAAGCCAGTTCTTATCCTTCGGTGGCTGCTGTTTACAGCTTTCCTCCACTGAAGCTGCCCCTATGACTCCCCTGCCCAGTCCCACACAGAAGGAACCTCTGGTGCTACTTCCTCTCAGGCTGGGAATGACCCAGGCAGCCCCCAACATGCCCCCTTGTACAGTCTCTCTTCTTCCCCCTATGTATAAACGGGCCTGTATTTAACACATTTTGTGATGTTGGGTTATTTATTTTATATCTGTGGCAATAAATGAGATCTCAGTGGTGGTATGGATTCAACTGATCTCCACAAGAAGCTAGAAAATAACCAGACCCCAGTAAGGGCAGCGAGAGCCGAGCAGGCAGACATCTGGGCTCACAGACACCTGGCAGGCAGGGGCAGGTGTGCCATGAGGAGACATACCCCGCCATCTCGTTTGCTCCCATCTTCTTCGCTTTCTGCCTCCACTGTGCACTTTATGATGTCTCTGAAGCGGAAAGGCCAAAGGCCAAAAAGATTCTTGGTTCTAAGTGACCAGTCTCAAGTCAGCTTTGTCAGAAATACGTATCAGAAGTGTGGGGAAGAAAGGACATGACTTCCACTTTCCATCAGTGGTAAAAATGACAAAGCCTCTCTCTCTCTCTCCTGGCTCCTTCTGAGCTTTCAAAGGGGGAAGTAGGAGGGAAAGGGCAGTGCCCTGTGATCTCTCTGAAGACCTCACGTCCTACAAGCAAGGACTGACAATCAGGATTATATGAATGCATACATGGATGAGCTGCAGGCCAGGACTAACAAGCACAGCTGGGGTGAGACTGCCTGGAATCTGACTGGGGCCTGGCAGTGAAAGCTGAGACTGCCAAAACCCAAATTTAACTGTTTGGGACTCATGTCAAGCGTGCAGGGGTATTGAGATATGTAACTGGATCCCAGGACAGGCAGTTTGGCAGTGAGAAAAAGGGAAGAGACTGGGACCAAGATGCCTAAATCCTTGGCAGGGTAAAAACTGGGAGAAGAGTGAGGGCTGGGGAAACCCAAAGATCTGGGTTCTGGAATAGCAGCAAGTCAGAATTTCAGGCAAGGACCTCTGTTCACCTTCCCTTTCTTTCCTCTGTCAGGCAGAGGAGAGGGAAAAGGGATCAAGCCACAGGTTTTGTCCCCAGGTAGCCACGTGGATACATTCAGGGCCAGACAGACACAAGAGTATGGGGAAGAGAGGAATTTAGTGCTGCATTGGCCCCGGAGGGGGCTGGGAGGGGTCAGGAGGCTGGGGAGGTGTGGTGGGGGTCGGTCCAGGGGTTGCCTGGCGCCGTCCTTTGCGGTGGCCCCGTACACAGTGTGTGTGACCACAGCCTTCTTCTTCCTCCTCCTCACTCTCGGTGGAGCTTTCACCAAAGGCCCGAGGCTTCTCATAAATACAGCAACCTAGATTAAGACAGAGGAGCCCAGTTAGAAAGAATAAGCTGCTGAGTCTGTTTGATTCCTCTGGGATCTCAGAAAAGTCCTATTTCTACTACTGTCTTCTCCTCCCTCACAGGACTCAGCTTCTCCAGGCCCACAGCATGGGACTCAGGTACCACACTCCCTGGTCCCTTCAGGGAACCAAGAATCTGAAGTCCCACTTCCACCTTATACTCCTTGTCCTCAGGCCTTGGTGTATTGCACAAGCTCTCTACCTCTTGCCCTTAACTTTTCCCTGAGAACCATCAAGAAAAGTAACAGAACTATGAGCATCCGGGGATTTCTGGGGGTCAGAGAATGTGTGAAGGCTACCGTAGTCCAAAATTACTCACATTTTGATGAGCGGCGCCCCATGTGCTCATTGTCCACAGTGTCACTCGTCCATTCTACCTTTTTCTCTGGCTTCCGTTTCCGAAGTTTAATGGTGAGGCTCCGGTTCTCCTAGAAGGTTAAGAGCTACAGATATATCTATCCAGTCTCCTCCCAACAATCTTTCCCATTGCCTCCCAGGAGCGTTTCTCTCCTTTTCTCAGCTTAATCAGTACTACAAATAAGGTACTAGAAGAGCAGAGTACTAGAAAATGAAATGGCACAGGTCTTTAATCTCAGAAAGTGCTGGAGAAGTGTTCTTTCCTGTTCTTGTTCTTCACTAGAAAAGAGAAGACACAATTCCTAACCTACAAAGTCCCAGCAAATCTTCAAAGGAAAATATAATCTTGGGGCTGGTGAGATGGCTCAGTGGTCTAAAGCACATACTTAGAACAAGCCTAGCTAAAGCACAGGGACCGCGGTTCAATCCCCCAGCACCACATGCCAGCCAGCCCCCCCCCCTGGTGGGCTGAGATGGCCACACACACACACACACACACACTAAATAAATAAATAAAATAAAAAAAAACAGCAAAAAAAATATATATATATATAATCTTGTTTCTCTGTCTTTCTCCCCACATCATCCTTAGGAGTATTAACACATGAAACATGTTTCAGTCTCTAGAGAACAATAGTTGATCTCCTTTTCTTTTGCTGAATTCCTTATTTCTTTTCTCACTAGAGAAAGACCTGCCTTCTTCTCTCATTCTCAAGCCCTTCCTCCTCACCTGACCCACCTATTACTAGCAACCTGGCATCTCTGGTAGCAGTAACTGCTAAACTACTAAACTGTCTTTAGACTAAGACTACTAAACCGCATACAACTGTCTCTTCGAAAAATAATCTGGTTTTGGAAAAAAAGAATATCACATCTTGATTTGTCAAAATACCAGTCATGTTTTCTCCGTTCCCTCCACTTCCTCTTACACTCACCCACTGAATACATCCACAGCTAAGTATGCAGACGGTCCAATCCCCCTACACTCTCTCACTTTCTCGTTCCTCATTCCCCAGTTTCCGTGTTTCTTACACCTAAGGAGAAACAGCTACACCCAGCTCCCTCTCACACGTCCCTTCCAGCCTCCTGCAGCCCCTTCTGCTCCAAGCCCTTGCGATCCCCAGACCCCATATTCAGCCCACAGCTCCCAGACTCCCAAGCCCCACGGGCAACTTCCCAAAGCCCTGTCTGCTCCAGCCGCCAGCTCTCAGACCCCTAGACAGCACCGCCCCCCACGCCCCACGCCTTCCTTACCGGTTCGGTTGTCACGGTAACCGTTGTCTCAGTGACGGTCTCACTCAGCCCGGCCCCTGCTTCGGCCATGGCTGAGGCTGAGGAAAGGAAGGAAAGGAGGACGAGGGCGAGATACTCTTCCCTTTTTCTTGAGTTCGAAGAGAATCGGTATCCGATTCAGAGTAGTGGCCAGGATCCTCCGCCTTCTTCTCCCCGCCTCCTCCAGGGCCTCTGCTTCCCCACCCCTGGGGATAACCTGTTCAACCCCACTTCCGGCTCTGCACTTCCGGGTGTGACGCCTTCTGCAGTCCCCATTTCCCTTCCCTAGCGCCTAGTACGTCAGAGGGCAGACGACGCCGGGACGCAGGGGTACTTCCGCCGTAAGGCATCAGCGCGCAGGCGCCATGAGGAGACAATTAACGGGAGGGGCGGGGCAGCGAGGCGGGACGGGGTGACGTAGGGGGCCGGGGAG